TTGAGTATAAGCTGAGTAATGAAGAGTAGGGTTGGACACAATAAGAAATAACGACTAGAATGCATGTGCTCTTTCGCATATCAGTGGCGTGTGTCTTCTTCCATTTCGCAGACTCATGCATTTCCTCTAGCAAAGACTTCTTTTAAGGTGGTGCCTGTGGTTATAGAGCGAAAAGGGTAGGGCGGAGACCATTGTCTTTGCAAGCATGTGGGAAGTTGAGCCTAAATTTAGGAAAAAATATCGCACTTTTCCTTTCCCAGCGATCCTTGATTGTATTTCCTACTGTTCTCAGAAGGATGAGTGATCCCTACAGCCTGCCATGCGGACACACTCTGCTTGCACTTCTGTCTGCAGCAACACACCAGAGCCATAACTGCAAGCTTCATTTACTGTCATGCGACATTTGAAGTATCTCCGCTGCGTCCCAACTACACCATTGGGGCTTAGGTCTATCTGCTCCAGTCGCAATGGGTGCTGGAGGAGCCGAAACTGCTGCAAGAGCAGAAGCTGGAGAAGCATTTGGGAATCCCAACCTCTCCATGCAGTGCAGCACTTGGGAGAAAGCAGTCGAAGTGAAAGTGTTCGACATTTGCCACCACCGTCAGCGTAATATCTATCTGCAGTGATGTGCGAACCTCCTCGAGAGTGTAAGCTTCAGTTCTCTTCAAATAGTACCATATGTTTTCCATTTTGGCTCCTTGCATACCTATGTCGAGCTGATAGCTAATCCATTTGCTCCTGGAAATGCGAGATGTGTAATTGATCACCGAGCCTAAACATTTCCTGTCCATTCAGTTGCTGTAAAAGTAAGCACTCTGTCCGTGACATGATTTGGCTAAGTCCTTTACAATAAGCTGCTAGGAGTCTCAACTCACTTTGCTTGTCATACGTTACGGAATATCTCCTTTACATTCCTTCATGGAGTTTCGCCTGATGGTCTGCGTGCAACTTAGTGCCCTCTCTCATTACAAAGCGAAAATTGAACCCGTATTTAAAGCATTCGCAGGGGTTGGAAATTTCTTAATCAAGGAGGGCGAAGAAGACAAACGAAGAGGTATTTGCTGCCTTGGAGGACACAGTGCTGGACCTGCGTATGGCTGAGAGCAAATCGTTGAACGCTGCTGGAGCTAAACTGGAGATGGTGAGCATGACAGGCGACAAGATGATGTGCCCACTCGTATGGCGAATCACAAACGTACCTGTTGGGGTTCACAAGACGCAGGATGTATCTGCGTAGCTGAAAGCGATCACAGTAAGTGGCAACGCTGGTGGCGTGAGCATTGCCATTTTATCCTTTGACTGCAGTTATTGGTGCTACTGCTTTCCCTTCCTTGCC